TGGATCCGAGATATTTCCCTGTACTTTCTGGTTTGAGGACAACTTTTTACAAGACAGGAGGTATAGGAAAAATGTGCAACAAGGAAACAGACAAAAAAAAACTGCCAGGGCTTCTAGCATTCACCCACGTAACTAAAAAACAGCAATTTTACTTTGGTTTGTGTTGCTCTTCAGTAACACATGCATGTAATGGAAGGATGTGTCTGATTGAATACAAATTGACTTCATAAGTATGTTGTCATATTACATAGCTTTGGCAAATCTAAACAGAGAGCGCTCATAGATTGTACTATGTGTGGTGACCTTTAGAGAGGTTTCTCTTCACTTTCTGTTCTGGCTACCAGACATGAAGTCAAGGAATCTGTCCAATGAAGCCTCTGACCACAGTAAAACCTAACAAGAGCTCTAAACCTTCCCAACTCTATAAAAAAAAATATGTTTTTGGTATAGATACACTTAGTTATAAATAAAGCCAGAATGAGATAAAACCTCTGACATGTTGATATCTGTATGCCCACTGGGGACACTAACCCTTTCCATTTGGCCTGGTGACCATGTTACCTTGACAGAAAGTTATGGGAAATCCAAAATGTTACTGTTGTCACCAGAAACAGAATAGAAGGGGACACCAGTTCCAGTGATAAGTTTCTGAGAGGGAGGCTCATGTTGGAGAAATTCCCTAGTACTTCCTGTTTGTATTGCTGGGACAGGACATGAAGGGAAATATCCCTATTGGGGACGAGCAGCTAAAAAAAAACAAAACAAAAAAACACACACACAGATTTAACCCATTCTACACTAAACATGTAGTTGTAGATACACTTTAAGTAGCTTGATTCAGATACCCTGGAATAATCTTACCAGAAAAAAGATAAAACCAGATTTACACAGACAGCAAAGGAAGGCACTTGGCAAGACCTGACCTCTGCAATGTGCTCCCTAAACAATGAATCCAGTACAGGTGTTTCAGTACATAGTTGGAGGCCCAGTGGGTGGTGAAGTGGTCTAAGTGCTTAGTGGTTTGAGTTGTTTTCCCTGGCAGTAGCAGTTCAACCACAATGCAAGGGCCACCACACTATTATGGGCAATACGTGATATTCTGCAATATACTGTCTGTGTCAAGCTTTCTAAAATAGTAGTGTTGTCTCTAACAACAAGTCAGAAGTTAGCCCATAAGTTTCATACTGTAGCTGAGAGGATGTAAAAGTAGTTCTTGTGTGCATCTTAATTTTCTATTTTATTTTCTGAATAATCTTTTACAAGTTTTATGTTAAAATAATATCAACAGCAAAAAAATTATTTTAGTCCATGAATAAAGATTAAAAAAT